CCAAGTGTCCATTGATGAATGGATAAAGAAGATGTGGTATATATATATATATACAGTGGAATATTACTCAGCTATAAAAAGGATGATATCTTGCCACTTGCAACGACATGGATGGAGCTAGAGAGTATAATGCTAACCAAATAAGTCGTTCAGAGAAAGACAAATACCATATGATTTCACTCATATGTAGAATTTAAGAAACAAAACAAGTGAGCAAAGGGAAAAAAGAGAGAGAGAGGCAAACCAAGGAAACAGACTCTTACCTATAGAGAACACACTGATGGTTACCAGAGGGGAGGTGATGGGGGAATGGGTGAAATAGGTGATGGGGATTAAGGAGGGCACTTGTTGTGATGAGCAGCAGGTGTTGTATGGAAGTGTTAAATCACTATATTGTGCACCTCAAACTAATATTATACTGTATGTTAACTAACTGGAATTTAAATAAAAACCTAAAGAAAAAAAGGAAGCTTATTGTTGGAAGGTGTCTTCTTTACTCATGGCATTTTATTATATCAAAATTGGTGATAACCCAGAACAGTGTGAGCAGCTATGACCATATTTTGCCCCAATGATCTTGACATTTTCAGAATGTATTTAACCAGTTAGAAAACAATATAAAAACATAAAAGTATATTATTATAAATACATATATATTCTTAGAAATGCTAACATTGTGAGGAAAGAATATATAAAATGGCCTTAGGATAGAGTTTGTTGGGATGCCTGGGTGGCTCAGTCGGTTAAGCGTCTGCCTTCGGCTCAGGTCATGATCCCGGGGTCCTGGGATCGAGTCCCACATCAGGCTCCTTGCAGAGCAAGGAGCCTGCTTCTCCCTCTGCCTGCCTCTGTCTCTCTCTCTCTCTGATAAATAAATAAAATCTTTAAAAAAAATATTAAAAAAAAAGTTTGTTGGCTTTATATTTGCCTGCAACATTTCTGATTTTTGAAGACCTATTCTAAATTGCTCTTGGCTGTGCAAAGGTTTTGACTGCATTTCTTAGTATGACTTGAGGCTCATCCCTCCTTTTGTGAAATATGAAAGCTGGCCCATTGAGCTTTAAGATTTTGTAAGGTGGGGAACTGGGTTCAGATTGCTTTTCATCTCCCCTTAACCTGCTGCTGTGGCCAAGATGCAGGTATAGCTTCTTATAGCTGTCTGATTCTCTTACAGCAACCTGTTTCTTTGAGAGACAGTAGAAAAGAGTGCGGACAGGATCCTCTTCTATTTTTCTCTCCTCCCCTGCTGTAGGTCTCAAATTGTCTTTCTGGAAATATGACCTCCTTGAACAAAAGGGGATAGGAATTCCCAGAGCCTAATTTCACTATGGGGAACTATGTAGGCCTCTGAAGGGGAAGGACATCAGTTTCTTCAAACGCTTTATCCATACCTCACTCAGGTTACTTGGCAATTTCTCTAGTGTTTTATAGTTATTTTTGTCCTCATCTTTTCATCTTGATTGGTGTTTTCTATGAGTGCAGAACATTTTCCGCAATGATGGAAATGTTCTATATTTTCATTTTCCAAATCAGTAGCCATTAGCTACATGAAGTTTTTGAATGCTTGAAATGGGCTAATTAATATGATGGGAGTACTGATTTTTAATTTATTTAACTTTAATATTAGTTAATTAAAATTTTTTTATTTGACTATAGTTGACACAATGTTACATTAGTTTTAGGTGTACAACATAGTGATTCAACTTCTCTATACATTATGCTACAGTCACCACAAATTTGCTACTGTCTGTCACCATACAACACCTTTACAATACCATTCACCATACAACACCATACAATACCAATCCCTGACTATATTCCCTGTATCTTATATCCCCATGACTTATTCATTCCATAAGTGGAAGTCTGTATCTCCCACTCCTCTTTACCCATTTTGTCTGAACCTCACCCCTCTCCCCTCTGACAACCAGCAGTTTGCTCTCTGTATTTATAGGTCTGGTTCTACTTTTTGTTTTTTGTTTTTTTTAAAGATTTTATTTATTTATTTGAGACAGAGAGAATGAGAGAGAGCACATGAGAGGGAGGAGGGTCAGAGGGAGAAGCAGGCTCCCTGCCGAGCAGGGAGCCCGATGCGGGACTCGATCCAGGGACTCCAGGATCATGACCTGAGCTGAAGGCAGTCGCTTAACCAACTGAGCCACCCAGGCGCCCCTACTTTTTGTTTATTTATTAATTTCTTGTTTTAGATTCCACATATGAGTAAAATCATATGGTATTTGTCTTTCTGTCTGACTTATTCCGCTTAGCATTATACCCTCTAGGTCCATCCATGTTGTCACAAATGGCATGATCTCATCCTTTCTTATGGCTGAGTAATATTCCACTGTGTGTGTGTGTGTGTGTGTGTGTGTGTGTGTGTGTACGTACACACATCTTTATTCATTCATCTATGTGTGTACACTAGGGTTGGTCCCATGTCTTAGCTATTGTAAATAATGCTGCAATAGAAATAGGGTGTATAACTTTAATTAATTTAAATTTAAATAGCCACAGGTGTTGGAGAGTACAGATCAACTTAACAACATGGTCTGTATTTGATGTACTTCTTCCTGTTTTATTGGAGTATACCAGTTTACTTATCCGATGTTTGGTGAAACAGGTGTGTTTGTTAACCATGTTGCTTCCAAAAGTACATGTGGCTAAGCTGGCTGTGCAGTTAGAAACTACACAGTTATGAGTTTGAAACTAAAGTTGGTTTCTGATGGTTAGTATGAAACTGGAATTAGATGCTTCAAATTCTTTGTGCCTTCCTGAAATTTATTCAAAGTGAATCTAAAAGCTGATAAAACCACCATCACTAAAAATTCTAGATTTACCTTAACATTCTACAAGTGTCAACAACATTCATGTTTGAGTAGGAGAAAACAGGGGTTATTAGCTGAGTGTTACTTCCAGTAACTCAAGGACAAGGAAATCTCTGTGATAGAAACAGGGCTGTCTTAATCATGCTGGTAGGTGCTTATTTTTATATATTTTTCATTTTGATTCTTTTGAGTGGATTCTTGTTTACCATCCAAGTTACATGGTCAGTAATTAGGTGTAATAAACAGTTCATTTTGAATTCATGGGTATTTTGTTTATACTTACAACACAGCATCACACTGGGAACTTTAGAAATATATCAATAACTTTTTATTTCAAATCATTGCAAGTTTCTTTTTTTGGCAACTCTGTTTTTTCTCTCATGCAGCCTGTATATCGGGACAGCAAATTTTGGTGTTAACCAGAATATAAGTTCCAAAATATTACCAATCTGGCTCCTGGCAGATTTGATGTAGTTTAATGATGTATCTATAATACTGTAATTCAGGTAGCAGAAAAAAAGTAAATGACTCCCTCAAAATAAAGGTCTTTTGGGGATGGATTTTTGAAACTTACTGATAATTTAATAAATTTTTGAAACTTGTTGATATTTAGTAAATTTGTGGTCTAGGCTAAATTGAATCTGAGCACATTAGTGAGCAAAATATTCAAAATGAGGACTTGTTTGTTGAAGTTTTATATTATGAGCAGGATGTTCTTCTAAGCCTATACGGTATAAGATAGAGCCCCAGAGTGAGAGGCTTACCCTGTAGTTGGGCAGGTAGGAACTACACGTAAAAAAAAAAAAAGATAATTCACAATATGTGATAGTGTCTCAGATGGTTAAGTTTTGGGAACTTTGAGAGAAGGGTAGTGTTTCCTAAGGGTGACTGGAAAGGTAGGATTTGAACTGGATTTTGAGGAAGCTAGAGAGAAGCAGAAAGAGAAAAAGGAGGGCATTCCAGCCAAGGAGACCAGTGTGAGCTGAGGCTTGGATTAAGAATATGCATATGGAGTATTTGGGAATGAGGAATGGACATGTTTGTTGGAATGCAGATTCCAAATGGGGCCCTTTAGGAGGTAAAGCCATCCTGGAAGTGAGGGGCATGAGCATACATGTGTAGGGCTTTGATTGCTGGGCCAAGGAATTATTTTGAAGGGAGTAAGGAGCCATTAAACATTTTTGACTGGTGGGAAGATATGTGAGAAGTGAGATGTTATGAAGATTAATCTTTGGAGTGGCATACAGGATGATTGGGCAAGAGAGTGGGAGAATTTAAGCAGTAAGGATGTGAGATGAAGACTCTGCCCTTCTGTTGCTAACATTGGAATGGAAAAGCAAGGGATGACTTAAGAGTAGTAGCTTTTCTGGTGTACGAGAATTAAATTGATATTTATTTGTTGCCCTGTTGTGACTGAAAGGTTTCATGCCCGAATAACTGGGAGAAGCAAATGTTTTGAGTCTAGTGGGCTGATTTGAAGGAAAGATGTGTTGAGTTTTAGATGTTCTGAGTTCCAGGTAATGGAAGGACCTGTAGATGTGAGGTTCACAGGGAGTTGAAGATGAAAAGGCTGATGCTGGGTCTCAAGTGTGGAAGCCATCTAATCTCTCTTCCATAGGGTTATCAGTGAAATTCATGATAGTGGGTATGAGAGAGCTGCAGACTGCTGACTGTAGCCTGGAGACATCTGGGGTGGGGAGAGGGAGAAGGGCCAGTGTGTCACATGATGCAGAAAGTTCAAGGAGAAGAAAACTGAAAGAAGACCACTAGATTGAAGATCCTTGAGAACTGAGAGCGCTGTTTGAGGGGAATAGTTAGAATTGGTAACTGAGTAGATGATAAATAAAAGTAGGAAGTGAACATGTTATGTTCTTGTTGCTTCTTTTGTTGCCTGCTTTTTAGTCCTTTTTCTGAATGTCCTGGCAGGGAGATAGAAGGAGGTAGAACTCGGAGCTGTCCAAACAGTTCCCTGTTAAGAGACCAGAGACTGGTTATAGTAATTGGTGATCCTCAGGAGGGTAAAACCATTAGTTATTTGGATTCTATATATATTGACCCTTATTCTTGACAATAACTAAAATTTGTTTGCAATTTTAATGAAAATAAAAATGAGCATTGATGTTACTGAAAACTATATTTCTACTAAATACTACTTTTTTTTTTAAACAATCTCAGTTTTTATGCAGATTTTGGACCTCTGAACTTGGCAATGGTGTACAGATACTGCTGTAAACTAAACAAGAAACTGAAAGTGAGTATTATGGTGATGTTTTTATTTTGGTATTAAAAACTGGAACTTTGAAATCTGACCACTGGGATTGCTGTGCACACACCATTTAGTTAGGTAATCTTGATCTTTGGATATTTATATGAGTGGTTCACCCAGAAGTTGAAAATGATCCACCTGAGTATTCCATAAAGGACATGTTAACCTCTCATTTTTCAGGATGAATTGAAATGTGAGCTGGAATGAAGTCATTGGAATAGTGATCTAAGAAAGAAAGCACAAATCCTTTCAGGTTGTTGTTTAATGAGTCTATCAAATTCCTTCCTAGGATGATTTTTCTGAAACCAGGTGATGAAGGGGCTCATCACTGCATGGCAGGAGCTCTGGAGCTTTTCCTGTCTGATCAAGATAGAAATTTTTATGTATTTCTTGAAGGTCATCTTTGTAGAGTTAACAGCCAAGTGAGATTGATGAACTAGTAGTGATACAAGAGGGACTTTACCTGTTATGACAGAATTTGGGTCATACATTCAGTATTCATCTATATTTTTGATTTTACATTTTTTTTTCTCTTAAACTCTAAACATATATGAAGAAAAGCAATATGTATACTCCTGGTTTTGGTAAATTTATTTCACCACATAGAAAGAAATATTTCTATTTTTCTTCCAATTTTCTAAATGAGGATCTTAAATGTAATGTTTCAGTTTGGAAGGTCAAATACTACACAGCATGCTGTTAAAGATGACTGCTAAATTACAATGCTCAGGTTGTTTATTCTTTCTGCTGGTTAAAATGTTACTGGTGTGTCATAGTACTATGCCTTGTACAGATTAGCTGCTTGGTGATCATCTTTTGAATCGATTGATTTTTATTGAACTTAGGTAGAAAGACAGTGGATGGTGGAGAATTTCCTGTAAAATATGTTGTGAATTTTTGAATTCACAGATTTTTGCCACTGATCTGAAAATGCTAAATGATCAGGAATGAATGCCAAAGAAATATTTTTTTTAGTTAATCATTGTATAACATAAGATCTGTTGTAATCAACTGTTTAAAGACTTAATTTGTAAAGTATTAGCTGACTTGAAAATATGTATATAAATGCCTTTAACTGAACTGATCTACATTTTGCAGAAAAGAAGCTACTGCCTGTAGTTTAGAAAATAAACTTGAAACTTTTGTAATCACCAAGGAAGCAAATAATATCCTTAAAAGGATTTAAATATAAAAATATAAAATGACTTTTTAGTGGGTGAATTAACAAGGAAAGGAGAGTTCATAAATAATTGAGGCTTATTTCTTCCTTTTGAGGACCTAGGAATTTTTTTTGCTTTCTTGATTAGTCCTGTTAGTATGTAGTTGGTATGAACTGGGTATTATAATTAACAATTTGCAACCTGACTATTTAGAAGATTGAAGAGAAGAGAATCATTATTTTGAAAATAAAATTTTTGGCCTGACTTAGTGTTCTTATAGCAGTCACGTAAGAGTAGATGGCTTGAGTAAGGCTATTTTTCTACCATGTTCGATACCAAACCCTATAAGTAAGTGTATACATGGACTTGTTTCGATTTGTTTTCATTTACAAAGCTTTCTTTCAACATTATATGAAAGTTTAATAGAGTTCAGCAATCCCTTGTTTCATTTCAGTGATCAGGTAATCTGATGGATTCCTAGAAGGACCTTTTTAGCTTTAATACGGCTAGTGGTACCCTGTTACTTGCTGAAGGAATGAATGTTAAAACCCAAATGTTAATAAGCCATGGATTATTTTGAAGCATCCAAGTACAATCTCTATGTTAGAAGAAAAAGACTGACTACCAATCCAAAGCTACAATTGCTTCAGCCTTGTGGAATCTGTTTCTTTAGCTATAACATAGGGGTTACAGAGCTCCCACAGAGGGGCGGTTAGGATTATATTAGAAAATACATGTAAAAAGTCTTTGCAAATTTTAATGTCTTATGGCGAAGAAAGTTACTAATGGAACATTTATGACTTTGGGTAAGAAATAACAATAAGAGTTTTTCAACCCAGTTTATGAACGCCTTCTCAGCCCCCCTAGCTATTATTTCCATATTCAAAAGCTGTCCGATATAATTTTAGGAATGGAAATGACCATTTAGTCCAGCCAATTAATTTTATCGGTGCAAAAAGGGAGACCCAGGAGAGTCAGGTGACTTGGCCAAGGCTGCAAGGGAAAGTGGGGGCTCGATTTCAAGGCTCTCGACTTATTCCTGCTCCTCTCCACCTTCGTTGCTAGCCGAGCCTCTGTGGTTTATAATCTTTCCAGGCGTGCTCACAATACTGCCCCAGCTGACTTCACCTTGTTGTCCCATAGTGGTCTCGAGACTCCTCCGCCTCGTTTGCTCCAGTGACTCTGGCTGCTTTTCTTCTAGGAACCCAGACTCCAGGCTTTTCTGCTTTGAATGGAACCTTCTCGTTCCGTACCTCCCATATTCTGTCTCCCTCACCTTCATGTAATCTCCAGGCCCTCAGGCTCCGTATTTTCTTAGGCTCCCTGTTGGTGTTTCTCGTCTGCAGCCCGTGTTCACTCATCTTGGTGAGACCTTTGGGCACCTTGCTTCCATGCCTTTTGTCTTGCTTGCCTTGACAGCTGCCGCCCTTGGCGTCTTTCCCGGTGGATGATTTCATGCGCGAACTTACTGATTTACTGCATATCGCAGTACCCCTTCGACTCCCAGCTGTGCACTTTACCCTGAGCCACACCAGTTGCTCCACGCAATGGCCTGACGTCCAGTCTGACTTGAGTGCCCCTTTTCTCTGGTTTGATCACTCCTTTACGCCTTCTAGGAGGCATCTCCTTGCGCTACGGAAGAAGGTGGGAGGTGCCTCCTGTTTTCCCAGAATTCTCTGTGCAGATCTCTATTATTGAAGAATTATAATTAACTGTTAGGTTAGCATTGCTCTCTCTCACTAGACTAGACGCTCCTAGGAGATGGAGATGTGACATATAATTCTGGGTCCCCAGTGCCCAGCACAGGGTCACCAGACCCACAGAAACTTCTGTCGATCTTATCGTGATCCCCTTGACTTCATGATCTCCTTGACTTACAGGTCCCCTTTTAGCCTTTTGCCTCTGGAGATTTCAGGATACTCTGCCCTCACTGTTTACATCCTCACTACGCACTGATTTCTTAATCCTTTGCTGTCTCACTTTTGCCTTACTTACCCTGCTGAAACTGCTCTGGTGACATTTTTTAAAAAAAGATTTTATTTATTTGAGAGAGAGAGAGAGAGAGTGCACACCAGCCGGGGGGAGGGGCAGAGGGAGAAGCGGACTCCCTGCTGAGCAGGGAGCCTCGTGTGGGGCTCAATCCCAGGACCCCAAGACCACGATCTGAGCAGATGCTTAACTGACTGAGCCACCCAGGTGCCCCGCTCTGGTGACATCTTAAACACCAGATCTGATGGTGTTTACTTGGTCATCAAACTCTACTTCTCTGAATAATTTGCCACTATTTTAACCGATTACAACTTCTTGGAATATTTCTCCTGTGTGGTTTCCTAGCTCTTTTAGGCATGTCTTATTTTCTACTTTGGCAATTTTTATTTCTTCCAATAAAGCTTTTATGTTTTTTTCTTCTTCTTTATTTGATACTTTATATAGATAGGTAATATTTTGCAGTGCATTCTACATTTTTTATTTTTATATTATCAAAAGGTATTTTTTTCAAGTTGATGATTTGAGGTGGTGATTTATTGCTATTTTTTGTGTGTCAATATACATTCTATTCCCAGTGACTTTCATTTTAATTATGTTGATTAGAATGGAAAATTATCCATCAAACATGTACTTAGATTCAAAAACCAAAAGTAGGGGTGCCTGAGTGGCCCAGTCGGCTAAGGGTTTGCCTTTGGCTCAGGTCATGTTGGGCTCCTTGCTCAGCGAGGTATCTGCTTCTCCCTCTTCCTCTGCCCCTTCCCCTCAGCTCATGCTCTGTCTCTCGCTCTCTCCCTTGAATAAATAAATAAAATCTTAAAAAAAATCCACAAAACAAAAACCAAAAGTGGAAATCACTACCATCAACAAAAAAACCTATATTTTAAAATTTAAACTATATTTTAAAAAGTGTAAGCACTAATTGTTGTGCAGTGATAGGTTGTAGTTTGCAATTTCTGGTCAGTAGTTACTGTAATGAGCTAAGCAGTCCAAAGAAGGAAGATTTATTGAACTAAGAACAATTGGTAAAACTGTGTATGTTGTTTAATGTAAAATGCCATCAGTGATTGATAGGCTAGACCAGAATTCAGTAATTTGGTATTTTAAGAGTTCCATAAACCCCTGAAATTATATATAAAATTTTATGTGTATTTACATTTTCCTCTGAGAAGATGCATAACTTTTAAAACAGTTCTTAAAGGGATTCTTGCCACAGACAATGGTAAAAACACTGGGTTAGAATATACAGTCTTCTAAAAGGGAAGACCATTCTAACAACATAGTGATATTTTAAAAAACAATACCTTTTTCAAATTTAGTCATGTAAGAAAATCTTTCAATGACTGATACAATAATAGGAAAGTTTTATAAACATGATTGAATTTTAAAAAACAATACCTTCTTCAAATTTAGTCATGTAAGAAAATCTTTCAATGACTGATACAATAATAGGAAAGTTTCATAAACATGATTGAACTAGTTTTTCCTAAAATGGTCAATACAGTTTTTTTTTTTTTAAGATTTTATTTATTTGACAGAGAGAGAGAGCGAGCGAGCACAAGAAGGGGGAGCGGGAGGGGGAGAAGCAGACTCCCCGCTGAGCAGGGAGTCAGATATGGGGCTTGATCCCAGCACCCTGAGATCATGACCTGAGCCGAAGGCAGATGCTTAACCGACTGAGCCACCCAAGTGCCCCAATGGTCAATACAGTTTTAACTGTTGATTTCACTTTTCCTCTGAGAAAATGAAAACCTCAGTCTGTGAAAGAAAAAATCTAAGAGCATCACTGGAAAAAGGGGACATTTTCTAGGGCAGTGATTTCTTTTTAATACTGCTTTT